CAGAGAGGAGCTTCATGAAGCTCAAGTGGATTAAAACATACCTGAGGTGGAAAATATATATTTTTAAAAACGGTGCTATGTGCTCAGCCTTACTGATCACACCTCTTGTTATTAAGTGCACTTGTTTTTTAATTTCTTAATTTCGTATTTATTTCTGCAATTCCTTTCTATGAAGGTTTTAGTGCAGTACTTTTAAATTATGATTTGCTAAAATGTGGAAGTAACAGGGATCCTATTTATCATTATTCATTGTTATTGGTACACCCTTTATTGCTAACAATGTAAAAATATATGTTTATCATTTTACCATTTTGTAAAATGTTTGCCTTGTGTTCTTGTTGATAAGCTATTTATTACTTGTTCTTCAAAGCTGGTTAATAAACCTTTTCTAATTATAGAAACAATGTATTATATTGATCTAAATAATAAAATAAGGTCGTGTTTGGAGCTAATATTAGTAGTGTATGTGCACATCGTGTTCTGGAGAGGCCACTTTCCAGGGTCTTACCTAGGGCCCCCAAGAATCTGGGGCCGCCCCTGAGATCAGCACAGGGCTGTTTCTAAAACTTTTACACAACAGTGCATGTGCAGGACTAAGACAGCCGGAACCATTAGAGAAAGTCAGGTAGAATATACAGCTACTGTCAGTGTATGGAATTTTTCAAGAACGAAAGTAGAGTGGAGAAATGTTAGTCAATAAAAAACTGCAGAAGAAAAACAAGCAATGCTCCTCATAATGAACATGGAAATCAACTAATTCTGGAAAAAAAGTTCAGTCCACGACTGCCATTGTGACAAAAATAAGAAGACTCACAGGGCAAGCCCAACAGAAAACTGCGCTCCGGCAGTTATTAATGCACTTTTACAAACAAAAAAAATACAAAAAAATCGTTAGCATATAACTAGAACTGAACCCGTTTTCAAGCCAGATGTCATCAGTCATACTCAATTAATAAATAGAATTGCATCTTTCTGATTTTTAAAGAGTGGGTGCTACAGTTTAAATCAGTAATGGGAAATATACAAGCTATATCTGCATCTGCACATTCTGTTCCTCAGGTCACTCTTGCAACTGTTAATATTCAATATATATATATATGTCCAATTTTAAAGAATCAAAACTAGAACAAAGTGGAAATGAATGATACCTCCTGGACATTATTTAAACTGCATAGCTTTTAACCTTTTTTACAATGGAATTTCAAGTATGACTCATCAGTGTAATAGAGTTTATACATGTATTACTTTTTCTACATACTGTACCTAGAGATAATTGCAGACATACAGTACTGTATCTAATAGGAAATCAAGGTCTGTATCCCCTCTGCCTTCATCTAGATTGAAGCCATTCACTAGTGCCTTCTCTAAGAGAATCTTAAGTTTTACAGCAGAAGCTGTGATTTACTGTATAGAAGCACTATGTAATTTTGATTTTTTATCATTAGATGGACAGAGAGAATAGGCAAATCCAATTCTAAATTTAATTATAAAGAACTGGCCAAGAAAAGCAGTTCCCCCCCAAAATTGATACTATCTTGTACCTATAGTATTTCCTATAGCACTTTAATAGAATACATTTGCTAATGATAAGGCAATAATAACCATACAGTATATTTTCTCAAAATGAAATTAACGCAACAGAATGAGTTGCTATTAATACTTTCTCCTAAGGCTCTCTGTTTTTAAGTCAGTTCAGAGGGGCCATACAATTCAAAAAGTTACTTGTTCCTGGGGCCATAGCCCATGAGGGTCCATATTTTGTTGCACAGCAGGTCCTGTGGATTTTGACCGGCTCCTTGTCCCCAGGCTCTCTGTTCCCACAGCCTTGCACAGGCCTGTCTTTTGGGGGGAGCTTGTGGATGGACAGGCTCTTCTTCAGCTTCTGATCCTGTCTGGAGGAAAGCCAGTCGAGGCCTCCTCCTCTCACATCCCCTCTG